GGGGGGCCGACAGACCTGCCTCGGCCCCAGCTCTTCCACCTGCTGGCTTTGGGCGAGTTGCTCCCCCTCCGGGTCCCGAACGGGGATGACACCTGTGTCCCAGGGCCGATGTGGGGGTGCAGTGAGAGGAGTAACAGCTGCTGCCATTTATTGAGTCTTCGTGTTTCTCGTGCATTAGCTCATTTGATGTTTATAGAAACCCCTCTGTTCTCCCCCCTCCAGGGATGAGGAACCGCACAGAAGTTAAGTAACTTGCTTGTCCAGGGTGCCCCAGCCCGCTAGTGAGTGGTAGCTTTGAGAGTGCTTCTCTCTGGAAGGTCTCCTCACCGTTCTAATTACGGGACGCGTCAGTGTCAGCTGCGCTGTGGCAGCCCCCTCCCCCCGCCCGGCCCTTTAAAGTGTGTCAGCCCGCAGCTGAGTAGGGGCTTAGTGAGTGGACGCTTGCCAGGGAAGGGTTTGAATTGAACCTTGAGGCCCCAGCAGTGCTTTGGGCTTTTCAGGTATCAGGTATACATTTACTGAGTGCCTGCTGATGGGAATTCCAGTCTTGTCCTTGAGAAACTTTAGGATTGGGAGTGTGGGATGGATCAGAATGAGACAGGAGAGCAACTCCCTGTGGAGGGGGACCCCACGTCAGGGCCTTTAGTGCAGGGCTGTTCAGGAGAGCCAGAGCTGCCACCTAGGAGTTTGCTTTCCGCAGGTGAATCCAAGAACTTGGTCCTGCTTGGGTGGGATCAGCGGGGATGAGGGCTTCCTAGAAGAGTCAGCCTTAGGGGTGAACGGGCACCCAGATACTCCTTCGGAACCCACTTTACACCCATCCATCCACGTCAGGAGTCACAAGGCAGAGGCCAGGCAGGCACCACAAAGGAGGGAGGCAGTCTGGATGGGCCTGCAGTAAACTGAAAACATGCCCTGTCCCATGGGGCTGTTCACTGCTTGGCTTCATCTTAGCTTTGTGGGCTCCATGGGGAATTTCTGACTTGGCAAGAAGCCAGAAATTCAGATGTCTATGAAAAGCTCTGGTTTTTAAAACCGTCAGTCAAATAGGCCTGCACCCACAGGCATGCTCAAGTGTTTTAATGCTCTCTAGGTAAACAGCCGAACAGCCATTCTGTGTTCCACTGTTCCTAGCGGTAAGGGCTTGCCTGTCCCACCGGTGGCCTTTGGGGTTTCAGCTACCCGACTTGCTCTGTCTCGCCCCGCAGGCTTTTGCTTGTTCCTGTGCCCTCAGCATTCAGCGGTCCCTTCATTCGGTGCAGCCCGGGGCTAGCCCGTCTCAGGGTGTCTGCTGCTGAGTGGCGAGCTGCTTTAGTCAGTGTCTGAGAGCTGAGTGCCTGCTCACCTCTGCCAGGTGTCCTTGCCTTTAAGATGCGGTAGGAGAAGTACCAGCAGCTGGTCTGGCACTCACTGTGCCCCAGGCCTCAGCACCCATTGGTGACAGAACGGTGTGCTGAAGGCCCCGTGCTCATAGCCCCTGCTCTCTGACTTACTGGTCGTGTGACCTCGGGCACTTTACTTAGATTTTCTGACCTGTTTCCTTAATGTCAAACCCCACCCTCCAGGGTTGCTGCGAGGATTCCAGGATGAAGTGCCAGCAAGGTGTCTGGCACACAGAGCAGGTGCTCAGCTAAAGGTGACCTGTTATCAACTCGCTCCCATGCTTTGGCAAGAACCATTTAAAAAGCCCTTTTGAATTTTTGTCCCAGTAGTTCTAGGTGTGAGAAGCTCCTGCAGGGTGTGCCCTGATTTATTTGTACGACGTTGTGTGATGCGGGGATGCTCTGCTGTCGGGTGGGAACTGAGTCTAGGCGTCCTGAGCCTGGGAAAGTCCAGTCCCATGTGCTGTGGTCTCCAAGGCTTACGTAGGACCCCACCTCCCCTTCCTCCCCAGAGCAACAACTTTCAACTCTTGACACAGACACTGAGACACAGAGCAGTAACTTGCCCTGGGTCATCCAGCTGGGAAGTGGTAAAGCAAGGTACCACTCACACCCTCCCCTGGTCTGCTGTGTGTGGCCAGGTGTCCGCAGGAAGCAGAGGACACATTTAGATTTGTGAAGCCTTTTAATCAAGGGACTATTTGCAAAGATGTGGCAAGGATGAGTGAAAGAAACCACAGGAAGCAGTTTAAGACTCCAGGTCTAGGCTGCGGAAGCGAGGGGGAGAATGACTGCTGAGACCTGGAGGTGGAGAGCGTTGCCTAACTGAAGCCTGCAGGCTGGGCTGAGCCTGGGCTCTCCCTCCTTTGTTTTGCCGGTGCTCCCTTTGGGCGAACCGAGAAAGTCCAAATCCGTCCGTTGCTCGGGATGGAGAGCTGGTGAAGAGGGATCCAGGCGTACAGTTGACTCATACTTTATTTAACCATTTGGGTGTTTCAGTGGTTTCTGCTCCTTTGCTGTAACAGATAGTGCAGTAACCTCACACGTGTCTTGGCATTCAAGTGTGGAAATACCTGGAGGAGAGGGTCTCGAAATCGTGGAGTCGAGATCTGTGCTGGTTCCAAACTGACCTCCGGGGATGTTAAGCCGATTCATACACTTAAGGAAATGTTTCGCCACTTCTATAACTTTAATTTTTTTGAAGCTGCCTAAGAGGTGAGAAAGAATCATTTCAGTTTATGTGACTCTGCTGGGAAGATACTGAGGACCCTTCCTGGGGTGAGAGGCCACTGGGTTTCTGCCCGTTTGTGGCCTTTGCCTTTGGTGTTGAGTTTGGTGTAAGTCTTGTCAATGAGGGTGTAAAGCTCTACGTGAAGGAAATTAACCTCTTGGGTGTTCTGCAAACACTTCTCTTCTGGTTTGGCACATGTTGCTTTTGTTTTTGGTAAAGTTTGCCAGGCCAAGGTTTTAATGTAGTCAAACGTGTTTTAAAACTTCCAAGCTGAGGGGCTTCGCCACTCCTAGGTGGTAAAAATATTCCCCATGTTTGTTTTCATGGCTTCATGTATTTTTCAATCGTGGTATCATTTACATAAAGCGCACACCTTTAGACACACAGCTTCTCACACTGTGCATGCACTGTGTAACCGTCACCGAGGACATTGCTTGGTGGCATTGTTGTATTTATATTGCTTTGGTGAGTTTTAGGTTGGTGTGCAGCATGAGGCAGGGCTACAGATTTCATTTCCCTCCAGTGACAGAGTAGGAGTCCCAGCCCCCACGTTGGGAGAAGACACTAGTGAATTCCTGAGAACTGCTTTTTCTCAGCTCGCCTTTTCAGGGGAGGGTGGTCCTCTGAGAATCTGGTGAAAGTTTTGGACTTTCTCTTTAGAAGAAATATACTAGTGTATCAAATTTTAGGTTAAAGACTCTCTCAAGTTTAATTTCTTCCCCTTTGCAGAAAGTTCGTGTTTTTCAACATCCCTCAGATCCAGTACAAGAACCCCTGGGTGCAGATCATGCTGTTTAAGAACATGACACCGTCGCCCTTCCTGCGGTTCTATTTAGGTGAGTGCGGGGCCCTCCGTGTGGCCCAGGACCCGCTTTCTCGCGTCCCTCCTCCTCCTTCCCGCCCTCTGCAGCTGCATCCCCGGGCCTGGCTCCCCGGGCCGTCTTTCCGGGTCCTGTCCCCACACTCTGCTTTGATGCTTTGCTCACACCAGTCCCTCTGCTGGAAATCCCCACTCTACTTTTCATTGCTTAATTGAAAAAAATAAATAAATAAACCTCTGAGAGTCAGCTTGGGCACCATGTCCCCCAGGAAGCCTTCCCTGCGCCGGCTTGCGGCGTGCACAAGTCTGCCGGGTCCTCTTCGGACCCCCCATGTGTCCCTGCCGCTCTCCTGCCGGCCGGAGGCGCTCAGGGGAAGGTGTGTTCAGCTCAGCCTGGCTGAGTGCCCGGAGGTCAGGAGACCAGGCGTCCTCGCCGGCTCTACTCAGTCGTGCTGACCCTGAGCGAGTGATGTTCCCACTCAGTATTTCTCGGGGAAGGCAGAGCGTCTGCCTACAGGGTCACGGGAATCAGATGAGGTGTCGACTGGGAAACGCGCAGCCATCAAAATGATGCCTTTTCATTCATTCAGCAAATAGGTAGCGAGCGCCGCGGAGGGCGGACCAGTCACTGTTCTAGGTGCTGAGGGTCTCAGGGCCCCCCAGGCAAGGGCCTCTGGCCCTGTAGAGACGATATTCCAGCGGCCGGAGACAGTGAATAAGAAACTCAGTAGCATGGTTTCTTAGAAGATAAGTGCTGGTGAAGAAGGGAAGATGGAGCGTGTTGGGGTGAGGAGGAGGGTGGCGGTTTGGCGGTTTTGTGCATGTACTCTGTGTTGGTGTTTTTAAACATTAACTTTACAGAGTATAATTTACACATAATAAAACACACAGGTCTCCTGTGCACAGAACGATGCGTTTGACAGCTGTCACGTGCCTGAGTCGCTGCTCCCCAGGGACCCGACAAAACAGCTTGTGATCCTCAAAGTCCTTGGCTCTGCTTTCCAGTGACTCCCCACCTGCACGGGGTCTGGGGGGGGGAAGCCGCTGTTGGGGGTCCTTGCGCCATAGCTTAGTTGGGTTTGTTTCAGAAGTTAACACGGATAATCTCACCATACGGCTTTGTTTGTGTGTGGCCATTACTCGTATCTTTGAGATGCGCCCACACTGCGTGTGTCAGTAGGTGATCCATCTACCGCTGAGTAGTTCTGCTTTCTGGGAAGATACTGCAGCTTGTTTATCGGTCGCTTTGATGAACGGGGTGGGGGGTGTTAGGTGCTGGGACAGTGACAAGTGTGAGATTTACTGGAAATGTAGGGGGGCAAGTCTGCAGCGGGCGAAGCAGGTCTGGGAAGCAGGGCTGCCGCCTCGGAAGGAGGTCCGGTTGGAGGACCCCTCACACGCAGGTGAGGAGTGGGGCCCCACGTCGGGCCGAGGAGGTGGGGAGAGCTGGGGGCGCTCTGCTCCCAGAGGCTTCCTGCAGGGGCCTCACTTGAGGGGAGGCTGCCCGGGGCCGGCGGGGTGTGGGCTGCATGCAGAAGGAGTGTGTCTGTGTGGACACAGGCCCTTGGTTCCCCCCGGGCACGAGCCTCCTGGAGGCTCGAGGGGGGAATCCATTTCCTTGCCTTTTCCAGCTCTGGAGGCCCCCACGTTCGTGGCTCATGGTCCCTTCCTCTAGCCGCCTTCACATCTGGCCTCCTTCCCTCTGAGCACCGCCTGGGAGGTTCTCTGAGGACCCTGTGACTTGTGGGGCTGCCAGATTATCCAGGAGAATCTACCTGTATCCATGTCCTGATGTTTAATTGCACCTGCAGAAGCCCCTGGGCCAGTCCGCTGTCCTGCTCACAAGTTCCGGGGGACGGGAGGAGGGCGTGGGGGGCCCTTTCTTATCACAGTCAGTCTTCTCACTGTGTGCCACGCCCATGGGTGGGTGTCTCCTTGACATTTTAATTTGCATTTCCCTGGATCTTTTTCTTGTGCTCATTGGCCATTCATGTATTTCTTTTGTAAAGAGTCTTTTGCTCTTTTGTCCATTAAAAAAACAATTGGGGCTGTTTTCCTGTTGAATTGTTTATATATTCTGGATTCAGTCTTTGTCAGATAGGTTTATTGTGAATATTTTCTCTGTCTGGCTTTTCATTTTCCTAATGGTGGGGTTTTTTTGGTATATATATATTTTTTATTGAAGTACAGTCAGCTTACAGTGTTGTCAGTTTCTGGTGTACAGCACAGTGCTCCAGTCATACATGAACTTACATATATTCGTTTTCATATTCTTTTTCACCGTAAGTTACTACAAGATACTGAATATGGTTCCCTGTGCTCTGCAGTATGAACTTGTTGTTTATCTATTTTATATATAGTAGTGTGTATTGGCAAATCTTGAACTCCCAATATTACCCTTTGCACCCTCTGCCCTCCTGGTAACCATGTTTGTTTTCTACATCTATGAGTCTGTTTCTGTTTTGTAAAGAAGTTTGTCTTCTTTTTTTTTAGATTCCACATATAAATGATATCATATGGTATTTTTCTGTCTCTTTCTGGCATACTCCACTTAGAATGACATCTCCAGGTCCATCCATGTTGCTGCAGATGGCATTACTTTTTTCTTTTTTATGGCCGAGTAGTATTCCATTGTATAAATATACCACAGCTTCTTTATCCAGTCATCTGTTGATGGACATTTAGGTTGTTTCCATGTCTTGGCTATTGTAAATAGTGCTGCTATGAACATTGGTGTGCAAGTGTCTTTTGGAATTAAGGTTCCCCCTGGATATATGTCCAGGAGTGGGATTGCTGGATCATATAGTAAGTCTATTTTTAGTCTTTTGAGGACTCTCCATACCATTCTCCTTAACGACTGCACCAAACTGCATTCCCACCAACAGTGTAGGAGGGTTCCCTTTTCTCCACGGCATCTCCAGCATTTGTCATTTGTGGGCTTCCTAATGATGGCCATTCTGACTGGTGTGAGGTGATAGCTCATTGTAGTTTTGATTTGCATTTCTCTGATAATTAGCGATATTGAGCATTTTTTGCACTTGTTTGTCTTCATTGGAGAATTGCCTGTTTAGGTCTTCTGCCCATTTTTGGATTGGGCTGTTTGTTTTTTTCTTATTAAGTTATATGAGCCGTTTATATATTCTGGAGATTGAGCCCTCATCAGGCTCAACTTTTGTAAGTATTTTCTTCTATTTCTGTGGGTTGTCTTTTTGTTTTGCTTATGGTTTCCCTTGCTGGTCCTAACGGTGTCTCTCGAAGAGCGGGAATTTTGATTTCAGTGAACTCCAGCCTATCGGTTGTTTTATGTTTAGTGCTTTTTGTATCTTGCCCAAGAAATCTCTGCCTGCCCTGACGTCTCAAAGACTTTCTCCTGTGTTTCCTTCAGAATGTTTATAGTCTTAGATTTTACATTTAGGTCTACATCCACTTGAGCTATTCGAGGTAGGGACCAAGGTTTAGTTTTGCTTTGTTAGATTGGGCGTGTTCAGTGTTACAGCACGATTTGCTGAAAGACAGCCCGCCCCCTTACTGAATTTCCGTGGCATCTTCGCCAAAAATCAGTCAGCCGTGAACAGATAAACGAAATCCGTAAATGCACCCCCACAGCCACGAAAAGGAGTGAACCTGACACGGCCGCTGAGAGGAGGCGGATGCCACGGGCCAGAGCGTGTGGCCCCGCTTGCGTGAGGTGCGCGTCCCCGCGGGCCGAGCCGCGGGCTGGCGGGAGGGCCAGGAGGTGGCGGCTTCAGGGCTTCAGGGCTTCTGTCTGGGGTGATGACGAGGTGCTGGAATCTGGGTAGTGCCGACGCTTGCACAGCAGAGTGAATGTACTAAAACCCACCAGGCTGAACACTTTAAAATGATTAAAATGGGAAATTTTATGTTATGTGTATTTTACAACAACAAAAAAATCACTTGACTATGTATTTCTGAACTGTTTTTGCCTTTTAAATTTTTAAAACTGAAGTAAAGTTGACGTACAGTAACATTGTTACAGGTGTATAATATAGTGATTCACAACTTTAAGGATTATACTCCATTTAGTTACTATGAAATAGTCGCCGTATTCCCCGCGTTGTACAGTATATCCTCGTAGCTTATTTTGTACCTGATAGCGTGCATGTGTCACTCACCTACCCCTAGCCGCCCCCCCACTCCCCGCTGGCAACCGCTAGTTTGTTCTCTCTGTCTGAGGCTGCTGCTTTTTTGTTATATTCACTGGTTTGTTGAATTTTTAGATTCCACATATAAGTGATACCATACAGTATTTGTCTGTCTATCTGACTTACTTCACTTAGCAGAATACCCTCAAGTCCATCCGTGGCGCTGCAAATTGCAAAATCTCATTCCTTTTTAATGGCCAAGTTGTTCTCCAGTGTGTGTGTGTTTATGTACACACTGCATCCTCTTTATCCAGTCATCTATTGATGAACACTTAGGTTGCTTCCACATCTTGGCAGTTGTGTATCTTTTAGAATTCAGGTTTTGGTTTTTTTCAAATACGTACCCAAGAGTGGAATTGCTAGTAGAGTAGGTTTTGTTTTTTTTTCCCAGAAATCTCCATACTGCTTTCCACAGTAGCTGCACCAATTTATATTCCCACCCACAGTGCACAAGGGCTCCCTTTTCTCCACATCCTTCCCAACATTTGTTATTTGTGGTCTTTTGATGATGGCCATTCTGACTGGTGTGAGCTGATACCTCACTGTGGTTTTGATTTGCGTTTCTCTGGTAATTAGTGATGTGAGCATCTTTCCATGTTCCTGTTGGCCACCTGCATTTCCTCTTTGGAAAAATGATTTTTCATTTCTTCTGCCCATTTTAAAGTCAGGTTTGCTTTCTTGATGCTGAATTGTATGAGCTGTTCATGTATGTTGCATATTAACCCGTTATCGGTCGTGTCACTTGCAGCTACTTTCTCCCAAGTCCACAGACTGTCTTTTAGCTTTGTTTACGGTTTCCTTTGTTGTGCAAAAGCTTTTAAGTTTAGTTAAGTCCTGTTTGTTTGCTTTTGACTTTGTTTCCAGAGAATATTGCTGCAACGTATGTCAGGGCTCTGTGTTCTCCTCTAGTTATATGGTGGCCGGTCTTTCAGGTCTGTAATCATTTTGAGTTTCTTTCCGTACACGGTGTTAGAGAGTGTTCCCATTTCAGTCTCTCAGAGGATCTGCCCCGACTTCCCAGCGCCACTTACTGCAGAGACTGTCTTGTCTCCACTGTGCACTCTTGCCTCCTTTGTTGTAGATTAACTGACCGTGGTGCGTGGGTTTACTTCTGGGCTCTCTGTTCTGTTCCGTTGACCTACGTGTCTGTTTTTGTGCCAGTACCACGCTGCTTTGATTTTGATGCTTGTAGTTTTGTAGTAGAGTCTGGAGTCAGGGCGTGTGATTCCCCAGCTCTGTTCTTTCTCAAGATTGTTTTGGCTGTTGGGAGTTCCTCTGTTTGTAGATTCATAATATGCCTTAAGATCAAGTAGTATAAATTCCTTTGTTCTCCCCCCCCCCAAATTACTTCGGCTCTTGTAGGTTGTTTCCATTTCCACATTTACTTTAAAATCTTGAGGAAAAAAAAAAACCTTGTTGTCAGTCGATTGAAAAAAGTTTGCTGGGATTTTTATTGGAATTCTGTTGCAGATCATTGAGGATAATGTGCTTTTTTGGGGGGGGATTAGGTTTATTTGTTTATTTTAATGGAGGTGCTGGGGATTGAACCCAGGACCTCTTCCTTGCTAAGCATGTGCTCTGCCCCTGAGCTCTACCCTCCCCCGATAATAGATATTTTAATAGTATCGAGTCCGTTTTGAGACGATTGCAATGTACCTTTCAGTTCTCGGTGCCCAGCAGACGGCTGTATAGACAGGACGGCTGGTGGTGTACATGGGCCTTGTGTCTTGCAGCCTTGCTAAATTCACTCATTTCTAGTAGTTTTTCTTTTCTCAATTCCTTAGGATTTTTTACATACACAGCCATTCCATCTACAAATGAAGCCAGTTTTACTTCTTTCCAGTCTTCTTAAAACCCTTATTTACCTTTATGCCAATCTTTTTCTTTCCTTTTTGGTGGGTTTTACTTCACTGGCTAATGTGAGCTGTAATACTTTGCATTTTTACCAGTAATTTAGGGCAGTTCCGGTTACTCTGCATCCTCACTAGCACTTGGTGTTGTCTGTTTTAAAAAACCTCAGCCGATGTAATATTTCATTGTGGTTTTGTGTTTTCCTTATGACTAATGATACTGAGTATCTTCTCATGTGCTTCTTATTAGCCATTTTTTTGTTGTTTTATGTTTATTCAGATATTTTCCCCATTTTTGTTTGGATCGCCTGTCTTATTGACAGTGAATTGTGAGAGTTCTTTACGTAGTTGGGGATATACAGTCCATTATCAGATATATGCTCTTTTTCCTCATTGAATTGTCTGGCCATCTTTGCTGAAAATCCCTTGACCATAAATTTCTAAGTTTTTTTCTGGATTCAGTCCTGCTCCTGTAGTCTGTTCTGCTCGTCCCACACTTACTGTAGCTTATAGTAAATTTGAAGTTGCAAAGTCAATGTCCTCCCATTTTCTTGTCAAAGTTGTTTTGACTGTTTTGGGTCCTTTGCATGAATTTCAGGCACAACTTGTCTGTTTCTACAGAACATCTGATTTTGACAGGGAATGACTGAATCCGTAGACCGGTTTGGGGAGGACTGCCATCTTAACAGTATTAAATCTTTCTATCCATGAACATAGAATATTTTCCATTACAAAGGTATGCTTTTGTACATTCTTAAAGCTCATATGTGCTCCTACCTAAAGAACTATGGAAAAATGGAGGTAGAATTGTGGGTGATGTAAACATTTATTTTACTGTTAAAATGTTTCTCCACCGAAAGCAAATCCCAAATCACCACCATTCGAGGCTGAGGGTTGCCCTGCTGAGTTCTCAGCTTTCTTCCCCCTTTACCTCCTGTTTCCAGATTCTGGGGAGCAAGTCCTGGTGGATGTGGAGACCAAGAGCAACAAGGAGATCATGGAGCACATCAGAAAAATCCTGGGCAAGACTGAGTGAGTTGCTGGGGTTGACGTGGAGGGGCGCAAAGGTCTCCTCAGCCTGGAGATTTGAGAGGGAGGAGACAGTGTGCCGGGAGGGGTGTCAGAGGGCAGACTGGCCAGGGAGCGGGGCCCGGAGCCCCCTGTCACTGAGCGTCAGAGCTGCAGCTCCCTCCGCTGGAAGATAGGGATGGTCCACGGACCATCAAGCAGATGCAGCTGACAGGCCCTCGTGGCTGTGACCGCGCCCCTCCTTGGGAACCTCAGCTTAGAGTTAGTAGGGGTCCGGCCCCAGCGCCTTTTCTTTCCATGAACAGAGGAGGAAAGACAGGAAAGTCTGTTTCGAGAAAGCGCAGGCGGCCCCGTCCTGATTCCCACGGGCCCCTCGGCTGTGCCGGCCTCCCTGTGCGCTGCTCCCTCCCCGGGAGGCCCGGGGAGCAGGGTGGGTCTCCCTGGCAGGTGGCCGGAGCCGTGTTGCCCACGCCCGTCTTGCTCTTTGGCAGGGAGACCCTCAAGAGAGAGGAGGAGGAGAAGCAGCAGCTTTCTCACCCGGCCCACTTTGGGCCACGGAAGTACTGCCTGCGGGAATGCATCTGCGAGGTGGAGGGGCAGGTGCCCTGCCCGGCCCTGATGCCGCTGCCCAAAGAGATGAGGGGAAAGTACAAAGCCGCCCTGAGAGCCGCAGCCAAGGACTGAGGCCCCGGGGCCCCTGGTTCTGTCCCCAGAGACTCTGAACATCTCTCTGCGATAAAAGGGGCCCCTTCACACACCTGTGTGAAAGCACGTGGGGGGAGGGGGGCTTCGGCTGTGCTGCTCAGTGAACATGAACACCCCCGCCTTCAGGGCAATAAAACGTTCCGGGCTCGCTCAGCAGCATGGCGTCTGACCGCCCTGCGTGGGGACGGGTTTGGGATCGGGAGGCTGCGAGGCCACAGCCTGGGGATGCCCCGTCTTGGCCCTGCGGCCTTTCCTGGTCTCCCGGGCTTCGGCTCTTCTTCCTGACCCTGCTCTGCGCTGCTGTGCAGGGGTCTGGCCGGAGCCGTCCGGCTGGTCGTGTAGACGCCCCTCCAGGCAGGCATTTTGGGACTTTTCAGAGATCCCTGGGCGAGCCTCCCTGCAGTGCCTGCTTGTTAAACTAAGGCCACCTGACTTCCGGGTGTGGCTGTGCCAGAGACACGGCCCGTGGAGGCACACCCTTCCCTGGGGAGCCCGCCTGGCGGGGACTTTCGGGCCCTGGCCCGAGGGCTGGTGGCGGCCAGTTTTGCCCTCCGGCTCCCGTGTGGAGGTTGAGACCGCGGTGCTTAGAAGAGCGGGGCCGTCTGAGCTCCTCTGCGGACTGGAGCCTCGGCCTCGGCCTAACGCTCGCCACGAGACGGGGAGAAAGGCGGTGCCTGCCCCCTGAGGCACCGGCCGTGGGCAGCGGGGGACTGGGGTGTCTGGTGTAAATGTGGGAGGTTACCCCGTTGAATTGGGAGAAGTTGGCCTGCTGTCACGTCTGATGCTCAGGTTGTGGGTCGCTGTGGTTTTGTACCAGCCCTGTGTGCAGGGTGATGGCTTGGGAGGCTTGGGAGGGAACGTGGGCGTGTGGAAATGGGCAGGGGTCCTGAATGACCACACCGCAGCACCATTTTGGAGGGTAGCTGGAAACTCCTGTCCTCCATGCGGAGCCCTGCTGCGTTTCTGACACCACGGCTGGCCGATGGCCGCCCGGGCTGTCACAGTGGTTCACGGGGCTTTTCAGAAAGCGTTGGTTCCTTTGGTCTGGCTCCAGGGCTTGTGAGACATGGCCTTGGGAAGACGGTCCTTCCCTCCACAGGGGCCCCCAAGGGTTGCTCGGGGGAGATGGCCCTGACCCAAGCCAGGTTTTGGCCCCTTTAGAGAGAGGAGAAACGTCCGGTGCCTGATGGGTGGCACTGTGGGTTACTGTTTGCTGGACTGTTTCGTAGGTGGCAGGTGACGTTCATGGAGTGAAGTCTCCTTAAACGTTTGCCGTCTGTTCCCTACTTTATCGGTGGTAAGAAGATGGGTTTACGACTTACAGAAACGGGAAGAAATTAGTAAAGGTTACTATGAGGATTTTATAACCGACATACTTTAATTTTATTTGCATAAGCAATGGTCACCAGATGGGTTTTGGCCTTGTTTTAGGCAAGTGACCGGTTTTCTTTTTTCATTCTGAGTTCTACCTGGCAGAGCCATTTAAAGCTATTTGACAGCCAGTGAGTTCTGCCACAAATCTGGCTTCGGACCTCAGAATCCTCACCTGTGAAACGAGAGGTCAGACAACATAATGAGCAGGTTCTAACTTTTGAAACTTTAAGAACACATTTTTACCCTGGCTTGCAAATATCCTTACAGGATGTGTCTCCGGGTTTGAGGCCTGGCTCTGTGTCTGCAGCCCAAGCTGTGCTTTGCTCCTGAAATGTCTGTGAGGCTTCTTGGCCGCCACACCGAGGAGCGGCCCCACTGGGAGGAGGGAGAGGAGATGCTTTTCCAGTAAAGGTATCTAAGTCCAGTGCGCCATCCAGTGGACCGTCAAGGGCTAAGGCACTCTGGGCCAGGGCTGAGGTGCGGTGGGAGAGTGGGGCTGACTACCAGGGCACTCACGCGCCACCTACCTGGGTTCTGGCAGGGAGTGCTGGGTGCCTGTGGGGGGCAGGCCCTACCGGTATTACTGTTAGGAGGAGAAATGAGCAGGATACACGTTAGCCTTTAATTCACTTTAATAGTATAAACCTCATTTAGGTAGTAGTAAATAAGCCACAACAATAATGCCACATGGAAACAGCATTTAATAAAATGCATAAAGCTAATTCATGCACTGCAATACACTATATACAAACACAACAATGCAAATTCTTCTCCAAGACTGAAGACATTGATTAGGTATAAAATTCAGTTTAAAAAGAAACATGCTATTTTTTAAATGCCATCACATAAACAAAGCTGATTTCAAGCTACAGCCTTCAACAGATTTTAAACCTGGAATTAAACTGTAATGGCATAAACAGTATTTTCTATGTTGTGAAGGGCAGAGGTTACAGAAACGGTCCCAAGAAAATCTAACACCCAAATTTCCTTTAACAGACTTCTTTCAAAAGGCCTGGTAGTGCAGCTACATTTTAACAGAGAGGTCCAAACTACAGGTAAAAACTATGGTTTGTACTATGAAAAACGTACATCTTTCAGTTATAAAACTAGCTGAACACTGGTTTACAAGGTAACTGGGAGAACGGAGAGACTAGAAAAATAGTCCAGCACTAGAGTCCATGAGCGCCCGGGTGTTAATGATAACCGATCACACTTTCCTAAGGAAAAGCCGTTTTTAATGTGGAGTCTGCTATTTCCAGGTGTCATCCTAGGTACTGAGCTTCAGCGCAGTCAGCCGATAAATGCTGCTGAGCCGTTTCCCCAGCATTTCAAAAGTACTGCTGGCTCCTTAACTGCAAGTACAGCTGGGCATTAAAGACGCCTCAGACCTCCCTCACCCCACCCCCAGGACGCCTTTTTTAAACTTACAGTTTAATTATTCTTAGATTACAGTTAAGAAAAGTAGCCCCAAAGGGAAACTTCTAAAGATCCGTTTGGAGGCTGTCAGGCTTCCTCCCGCTTGTACTTTAACTGGAAAGCCACCTCCCACAGTGTGATTGTCACGCCGGGCCAGGACGCAGAGAGGCCCGACGCTGCGGGAAGCTGAAGGCTGAGGATGCGCCGTCTCACAAAAGGCACTGAGTACTGTGGTCTCAATGAAGGGTTTTCAAACATGTCTTTTTTTTTTAAAGCAACCTGTGGACGATGAGTTTCTGCACTTACCCCGTGGCGCCCCCGCCAGGCCCCCGCCTGCCAGGTCTGTGAGCCTCTCCGGCTGGGCCGGGTCTCAGTTTACAGCCCGATTAATGGGGAAGACTTGTCAGGATAGAGCGGGATGAGGAACATTTGCATCTGTGGCTTTAAGGGCCTACATCCATACTAAAATCCTTTTTTTATCTGAAATTTAAAGATTTTTAAATCATAATTTACAGAAACAAGGTCAGTGGGCTTCATTTACGTGCTACATTTAGAGAAGTAAATTATGATTTGTAATTTATAATTTTATGTTATAAAAGTTAGCAATCACTATTCATGCTTATTTTTAAATACTTGTCTTTCGACTGTGTTAGGGAGATGGTCACAGGGCGGTGCCCACCTTTGCTGACCGAGCCCAGGGCAGGTGGGCTGTTGCTACCGCACTGGGAGTCGGGCCCAGACGCAGGCAGGATGGCGTCGGCTCTCACAGCCCAGTTCCTTCGCTCAGGCCACAGGTCGGTGTGTAATGACTAGGTTCAAGGTCCCCACCTGGTTTCGGACATGAGGATAGACTGCCTTCTAGCTTCCTAGCCCTTGTCTGAGCCTGGAGAAGCGAGTGTGGTCCTGCCAGGGCCTTTCTGTCTGGGACTCCCGGTGTAGCGATTCTGACCTCTGGCCTTTCCCGGCCAGGCTCACCCAAAGGAAAATGGAGTTAAGGATATCTCAGCAGACCCGTCCTGGGACCTTGGGACACCCACAGCAACTTACTGTGGCAACTCTTGTCACGGGTTCTCTGTAAAACAGCAGAATCTGGGTACGTGGCTACATGTCTGTATACATAATGTACACCTATGTACACACACGCTATGTACACTGTACACGGAGAAGGTATAAACACATGTACATTCATCCAGTCACACAAGCCTATAAATCTGTACACGCACGGCGCTGCCGCGGGGACCCAGGGCAGGACACGCGTGCACGCCGGAGGGAGGCACACGTGGGAGGCCCAGGACCCGTGAACAGACGCCCACCCCCTGCCGCAGTGGGGGGCTGGCTCTGCAAATTTACATCAGAGTTAAGACATTTTCAAAGCGCTGCATGGCCTAGAGAGAACGGGTGGGACGAGGGGAGCACGTGGGCCTCTGCCCTGCCTTCTTGGACCTTCCCAGGCTCTGAAGGGCACCACCCTCCGAAATAAAGGTGAGCGTTGGAAGATGCCGCTTTCCACGACCTGGACTCAGAGGAGCTGAGATGTCCCCGACGGCCCCACCACACCTGGGTCACTTCCACTGGAAGGCGGGCAGGGCGCTGCCAGGATCTAATCTCATCAGGCCCTGGCACCTGGATCCCCAGCCAAGGGCTGCTGGTGAGGCAGACGTGCCCCTCTTCCCCGAGTCACGGCACCGCTACAGCGCGAGCCCTTCCAGTGCATGGCTCCCCACATCCCGGCGCCGCATCTATCGCCACCGCATCCATCGCCACCGCCTCGAGACAGAGTGCACGTTTAATACTGACACTGACAGGCTAGAAAACAATCCCTCTTGAGGGCAGTTACACAACATCTTACAAGTGACTACACCTGAAATTAAATACAAAACCCAAATGACAAAGGAACCCCAACCACAGCCTCACAGCAAAGGCTAGACAATAAATAATGTACCCCCCCACCCCATACAGACATCTCAAATCAAGGGCGGTAACACACTTCTGCAAAAATACTTCCCAGAAATAACTTGGAAAATGCTTGAGTAATTTGGTCTTTTTCTAAATCTCTTCCTGTTCTGTTTTGAGATTAGATGTAATGAACTCCACAAATTCCAACACCTAACTGTCCAACGTCATCTGAAACAGCTCTGGAAGAGAGCGCACGTCACTGAGCAGTGACGGTGTGTCCGTCCCACCCCCCTGCTAAGGGGGGATGGGGATGGGGAAGGTGGCCTGGGACCGCGCTCCGTGGCAAAGGACCCGCTCCTGGTGTATTCCGCTCAGATTCAGGCGGCAGAGGGCTGGTCTCACATCACTAAACCAGAGTTTAACAAACTTCTAAGAGGTTAAAACCCTTGTGAAAGTTGAGCCCAAATATTTGCTTACAATCTCCTTAAGTAAGTTTGCCAAGAGAGGGAACGGACCTGCTGGCAAAGGCCTAAGATGACGGGGGCAGCAAGAATTCAGGGAACCTGGAGCCGATTCGCAAGGAAAAACCCACTTCCAGGTCTGGCCAAGAGGCTCTGGGAAACTAGTGCGTGTACAAAGCCCACAGCGGTCCACTGGAATCAGCTGTCACCAGTGAAGGGACTCGGGGGCAGGGCCGGGTAGAACCGGTGGCCCTCCTGAAGCGTGGCACTTCTTGCCCGAGTGCTCACGCCTCCCCATCCCGACACGTCTCCACAGTGCCGTGCTCAGGACCTCAGTCTAGGTTTAAGCCTCACAGACACAGGCCTGCCCCTGGAAGGAGGGGAGCCAGCCAGCACTGACCTCTGCACCACCAAGAGCTCAGACGTGACATGTGCTCCCAGGGAGCTGCTACATCACCCACAGACATGCTTACATTCAAAAACCAGAACAGAAAAATAGGCAACTTGCTGTGTAAGACACGCACACGTGCTTCAAAATGCCCTCTGCGAAAATCCTTCACGAGCAGAAATGACACACACCTACCTTGGCCATCCTCTTGGCCAGTTTTATCTTAATTTTGAAATTTAAATCACTTCAAAGTTAGAAAACCAAGAATTTAAGCTGGCAAAATTAAATCCTTTCCATCATTTTATAGTGGGCACCCCTACCATTTCTCAAATTTGCTCCCAAAGCATGAACTACAAATGATATAATCAAATCCAAATGGTGCCGATAACTTCAGAGGAAAGCGGCCTGCTCTGCTGTGAGCAGCCCAGCACCCACGCACAGCCGCGGGCACCCGCCTCGCTCCCCTCCGCTTTGGGCTGCGCGTCCAGACGGACCAGGACACCTGGAGGCATGAGTGCTTGGGACATCCTCTGATGAAAGGTTCGAGACATGCCAGTTTGGCCTCACGCTGTATTTTCTTAACCTGGGCTACACAGAAAGGAAGTACCACGTACCGACCCAGCCTCACTGCTTATTCACATCTGTGGGAGTTTACGGGCGCTTTCCTCTGACACCACTGCCCCCAAACCACATTCTGTGTTGTAAGCGACGGCCACTGTAACTTACAAGGAGAAGGTAACTGGGAATTAGGGGTGGTTTTGAGGAGCAGGCGGCCTGCTTCTGCACCCACCATCCAGGACACTCCAGGGGTGTCTGCGGGCACAACCCTGTGGAACCCAAGTGCGAGAGGCGCCAGGACCACCAAGAGACCTGCTGACAGAAGTGCTGAGTCTGGAGACACTGAAAACCGTCCCACTGGGTGCCGACACCCACCTCTGCCCGAACTGCAGGAACACAGGCCCTTCTCAGGGGGCATCTGGGGTGGAAACTGTTGAGAAGGGAGCCCTCCCACTCCTCCACCTGGCCACGTGCAGCCCCCCACACTGCAGTCAGGAAGTCCTGTTAAGGGTTCACAATGCCCACCTTGCACCTTTCGGTCAGAACACTTCATCAGCTGCGGGTGGCGGAGATGTGCTGGGGACGTTTTCGGTCGCTGCAGGAATTGGCAGTTAACGTCTGACTCGTTTAATCCAATTTTGAGAACCAGTCACCAGAAGAGAGCCCGGGTTTGGAGAAGCCTGCGCGGCCTGTCAGAGCAGGCAGGGCCAGGGCCCCCGACAAGCATGCGCTCTGGCTGAGGAAGCTTCGAGTCTGGGTCACCATGGTCGTGCTGCCACACCCCGACTGACCGCACGGACAGATAAGCCACATCTCACCCACTCCTCGGAGCCGAGCTCGACACCAGCGATGTACGCGTACAGTTAGGAATGATGCCTGCCTTCCTTAAACACAAATGATTGTCTCCTGTACCCTATTGCATTTTCACAGAAATCATTAGCATTTCGGCAAAAGACACACAGTTTTCCATTTGCCCTGCACAAAGGCAAGATGTTGCGAACATTACACATTGATAAGAAGTGCTTAGAAAGTGCTAATATTATTACCCTGGTAATTAGTAGCTATTAATTCCAAGGACATTTTTAATATATATACACATACTGTTCTCTTAGGTTCTTTTAGTTTTTAGTTTTTTTTAATACTAGTCTCTGACGTTATAAAACTTTGCTTTTCTTTTTTTGCCTTTTGAGAATTTCTAAATACAAATTGAATTAAAAGATTGTTCCAAAATCTGCTGCTTCATCAAAAGGCATTAAAACATTTCTTATGGCAGGAAAAGATCCTACTAGTCTTTCAGTTGCTACTGTCTGGGGTTAACAGAAACCTGGCAGGAAGCAGCTAACGTACTGGAGATCCGTGCACGTACCAGGTGCCACCTGTCTGTCTGTCCGAGCGGCGATGGGCCTGGCCCGGCCCGGCAGCGGGGGCGTGCGAGCTACAGGCTGGCTCCGGTGATCTGGCCGTTGTACTCCGCGGTCTCCATCTTGAGGATGTAGGGGATTATGCTGTCTATGGAGACGTTGCCAATGAGGCCGGTGAAGAACAGCTCCTCCGTGATGCTGGAGCTCATGAGCCTGAGCGCCGGCAGGCGGACGAGAATCCGGGCCAACCTGTGAGAAGGAGGGAGGGCTGTCAGAGGAGGGGTCCGCTGCCGTCAGACTTCGTCCTGGATGGGCTCCTGGGGCCCTGCCTGCACGGCTCAGCAGGGAACAAAACATTCACTCTCCACCCCTGCTTGTCTGATTTGTCTCTTACAGGAATTCATCACGAGGAAAAAAAAAACACAAGTGAGTGCAAAGATTATGTACAAATATGTCCCCTTCATTGTTTATAACAACTCTCTGCAACCACACTGACAAGAAAAATCTGGAAACCTGCCACTGGAGGGTGGGTTAAAATGAAGGGCGGTGTCTCTGTGTAACCAGTCACTGCGTACTCATGGGGGGGGTGGGGGAGGCCGCGCGGCGGTGAGCACGGTGCGACCTCCCCAGCACGTGTCACCCATGTGCACCTCAGGGGGCAAGGTTTCTGGAAGGACGGTCACCAGAGCGCCAATGGCTGGCCTCTGGCATTGGGATCTGGAGTGACTTAACCAATTCACGCTTTTTCTATAGTTCTCTAACTTCCAAGTTTCATTTAGCATTTTATAATTTAAAATACAGCAGTAAGATTACTTTTGTTTTGAAGAGACCCTGGGAGGGCACATCACGGCCCTGTCCTGGCAGGTCGCTGGACACTCTGAAGCATCCGTGGACGGGCCGCCCCATAGCTGGTGCCCAGAGCGCGCGCTCGGCAGGGCCAGCCCAGACCAGAAACGACCGGCATTTCCATCAGCAGGGAGGTGGTAAGGAAATTACGGCGCCTCCTTGGCCACAAAGGATGATGAGTGTGTATTTCTATTTTATGATTCCGACTGCACATACATGAGAAGTATGTGGAAGTAAATACATAAAATGCTAACAGGTATCTCTGAGCAGTGGTATTCACACAGAACTCAAGTTTTCTTTTTGCTTTCCAGAATGTGCTAATTTTTTTCTGCAGAGTGAATATTAAGTTATTTTTCAAAAGGGAAAATACATCTGTATTATGCAAGCGGTATTCCAGCACCGCCATCCATCCGCCCAGCCACTGTGGGCCCTGCAGGTGCCAGAGGGGCCGACGGGCTGCAGGGTCTCGGGAAATCAGCAAGGCCATCAGGGAGGACCCCGCAGCTGGCCCTAAGATGCTGGCCCAGGTTTCTACCAGAGGCGCAATCTTGGCAGAGATGCAAAGGGCAGGAGAGCCCTTCAGGAAGAGCTAACGGCGCGAGCAAAGGCCTGAGGACGGGAAAGGTGGAGACGGTGACGCGCTGAAGCAGGCCACGGCCGCCCTAGGGCCTCTCCCTGGGGAGCGGTCTCGGTGCTTCAGAGTCCGTGAGAGGCCCCTGCTGTCATGTAAGGCCTGCCCGCTTCCCCTCCCCCGGGCTCCCGGACTGGACCAGCTGTGACTCAGGACTTCTCAGAAACATGTACTTTCAAAGGCCAGAGAGCTACCGTTCCCGGTGACTCCCGTGTGCTGGGGCTCACCGAACAGCCCCCAGAGGGGCCTCTTCCGGCCACAGGCTGTGTGGGAGTGGGCCCATGGCCGCCTCGGGATAGTGTGCCCGCACGAGCCCTGGCTGAGGGTGTGTCGCTTGACAGCCCCATTCTGTGCGTGTTGAAGCTGGAGTTACTCTAGATTCACTGTGAGCTCTTCAGCAATTTCAGGAGAGAACGGATCGATCCTGCTTTGGCAAAAGCTGTGTCTGGGCCGTCGAGGTGTGGCTAAAGCAGGCAGGTCAGCCACAGGCCCCCAGCCACACCTGAGAAACAGTCCCCCTGGGGCTGGGGCATCTCAAGTTCACAGGGCACCTGCTGACTGAGGTCCGTTTGCAGAAGACACGAGGGGGAAAGGGGAGGGGAATATAATGCTTGATGGGGCCCCAGAATCCACATGGGCCTCCAGTGGGTCAAGAACTGATCGCGAGGAAAGAGCTCTTCCACTTGGCTGGAAGGAAAGCCTGCCAGTACACTCTGCCCTATTTCAAAACACCTTCCTATTCAAATCTGCATGAAAAAGGCATATATATGTATTTTTTGCTGCACAAACATTATAAATTTTCACTCAAATAAAGGGACTCTTAAAAATCAGTTAATCTGAGGGTGAAATTATTATTTTGTACAACCCCCTCACTCTTTATAGGGGTCGGACTTGGTTTCTGTCAACGAAAACTTTTTGGTCAAACACTCTGGCTAGTACTGCCTCTTCACTGGATGCAGAACAAAGAGGCCGAGCTTCTGACTATTGTGGACGAGGGGGTCTCCGTGAGAACCCGCACCTCAAGCCCCAAAGGAGATCACAACTTCCAGCCCCTCAAATTACAGAGGAGCCCCCCAAGGCCTCACCCAGCGGCACGCGACGGCCTGTAGCACCCCCCGCCACGACCCGCTGGGAGGTGCGAGGACTGAGCGTGACCACACGGAGCCCCACGGGCTGCGCGCGGACGGCTGGCGCTGCGGGTGCCTCACCGGTACGTGTCTTCCGAGTAGGTTTTCTGTACATAGTCCTGCAGCTCCATCTGGGCCTTTTCCTGGAATTTTTCAATCTGGCTTGTGCTGGTCAAACCTGGATGATCTGAAAAAAGAAAAATACCCTAAACTGCCCTCTGTATTTGGAAAGCCTCACTTGCAAACTTCTTAGTACTTATTTTTAGTCAAACTTCTGAAACATTTCTCAGGTACAGCAGGTTGAACCCTGAAGGCTGGGCTGGTCTGGATATTGCTGCTAGAATGCTGGTTTCTCCTGTGTGTCCTGCCAAAGCCAAAAGGTTCCCAGGAGCGGGCTACGGCCTCCTGGGTGGCCACACTGGCTGAGCAGCACCCGCTTCGGGCTGGTTCTAGACCTGGGGCGGCTGCCTGCTCGCTCTGGGAAGCACACACCACATGAAACGAGAAATCATCGCCTGCTTTCTAGACATTTAATCACGTAACATCTCCCATTTTGTATCACCTGTTCTGTTGGTGAGTGGAGGGCGGGGGGGGGGTGTCCACACTGTCCAGCCCCTGCTGTTGAGGACACTACACCGCTCACTGAGCAGCCTCTAGGAGGCCCGAGGAGAACGGCTGAGGGGGAGTGAGCCAGCTTGGTCCACTCTTACTTCCCACCTCTTGTCCCAGTGCTGTGACCACGCCCTGTGGCTGCCCTGCAGCTGCCACTGCCCTAGGGCCCAGGGGGACTCCTGCGGTCTCAGACTGGCTGCATTATATGTCTAACATACCTAAAAACCGACAGAGAGCAAAACAAAACAAATCAAAACAAAAAAGGGAGCTGGATGGGGAGCACAGTGGTCCCTTGGCACCCACGGGGCACTGGTTCCAGGACCTCCCACGGACACCAAAATCCACGGATGCTCTTCACATTAGCGGTGTGGCATTGTAACCTAAGCGTGTCTCCCCGTGTACTTTTAAGTCACCTCCAGCCTACTTCTAATACCTAACAATATAAATGCTATGTAAACAATTGTACTTAGTTGCTGGTATACAGCAAATTCAAGGTTTGCTTTTTGGAACTCCTGGATTTTTTTTCCATTGAATATTTTCGATTCGTGGTTGGCTGAACCCACAGATGTGGGACCCATGGAAATAGCGGGCCAACTGTACACTCAAATTTGTTGGCCGAGATCCTGTTTGACCGATGGCTTATAGTCAGGACACAGATGAGGTCCAGTCAGTGTATGACATTGGCTGGCACTCTAGTGGGTTTCTCTGGGAGGGTAAAGGCAGGATTTAAAAGAACGTACGCATGGGTGTGAGCTAGCAAAGCGCATCTACCGTGGGAACCTCCAGTCACACAGCGTTCGCCAGGGCGCTCTACACTGCCGACCCCTGACAACGCGCCCACGCGCAGAGACACCAGCGGACACAGGTGGAAGCCGCCCCGCGCGCCCCCGGGCGTCTTACCGGGGCTGAAGAGAACTATGGCTTTAAGGTACGCGTACTCGTAGCCGTCCACGTCCAGCCTTGCCATGCTGTTACAGAACTCCTGAAGCTTCCAGATGTGCTCCATGACTTGCTTTATCCGATCGCCAGAAAGTTTATCTAGAAATCAACACCACAGATCCTTTGAGAAGGGCCAGGGAGAATAGCACGAGAGCCACAGACTGAAAAAAGATGAGAATGATTTCACGCAAAGAAAAAACCAGCTCCCTCAAGAGCCGCACACCCCAAGTCCAGCCCACCGCACACGCTGCCTCCACAGCCAGCCCCAGCAGGCGAGTGGCCCCGGCGCAGAGGGCCGGCTCCCTTCACCCTGTGCTGAAGGCCACGTGCCAGTTCGCAGCAGTGGTTAGATCTTCTAAGTCTCTGCGGGCACGGAAGGAGTATCTGCCAACCTGAACATGCTGGCAGTTTTCGGCTGTCGAAACAATTTTATCTGTTGTCTGATTTAGTCCTCGTGACAACAGCTTACTGTTGAAGGTCTGTGGGATGTCCAGGATCACTGTTAGTGTTACTATATTCAGTTAAAAACAAAGAAAACTAGAGCTCATTTGTGAACAAACCTAACTTAGATTCAGTAAAATGTTGCAGGGCTTTAAAAATCACCTTTATACAACCAATCCAAAGGAATAACTAGAAAAACAAAGGAGTGACTGGTAACCCACATTCTGAGGCCTCACACCTGGGTGCTCAGTTTCAATCCGGCCACAGGCGCGGCTCTGCCGGGCTAGTCTGGACCCTGGGGCAGCGTGTGCTCCCTCCACGGCGCCCTCAGGGCGCCGGGACGCGCAGCACGCGGAGGCCGCACAGGCTTCGTCCCAGTCCTGGCACGGCTGGGACCTGACCACGCAGCATTCAGGGGAGGCACCTGTTCATTTCACACCTCGGACTAGGGCTCCATGTGATGCAGCAGCGTGCCCCAGCTCCCAGCTGTCCCACTGGCTGCTTCATCCGGGCAAGCCAGGGAGCTCTGTGGGACCTGTTTCCCTAAATGTAACCCTGAGATAGCAGTTTCTACTTCCAGGTGTGAGGATTTGGGAGACACCACACATGAAAGGGCAGTCTGTCCGTGAAGATGAAAACAAGCTGTGACTGTTCTGAAACTACTACTGCATGGCTACATATTGGAAGATGACACCTTTTTCCAATTACCTCCTTTTCCTTTCTCTTCATTATATGAGAAAAAGGCAGTCAGGTAGAAATTTAAACCTTCTGACCGTGAGGGTCCCGTGATGTGAACGTTAAACTTCCCTCCGCTAAGGATGCTTGGGACACGGGCTGGCCGCAGCCCCAGCTTACCTTCCTGGATGCTGTTCTGCAGGTGGTTGACGATGGCGGCCAGGATGGTGGAGAGGCTCATGACCTGGGCGCACTGGGCCAGGCCGAGGGTGAAGAGCTCGTTCCAGCAGGCCCGCACCAGGCTGGTGTTGCAGTCCTGCCTGGAGACAGAGGCGGGTGGGTGAGGGTGCCCGTGGCACGTCCCCAAGTCCCCCCACGCCCTGAAGCTGCTTCAGCATGTTTGTTGAAGGCCTACGGAATGTTCAGGGTCACTCTCCATCGACACCACTGTCTATGAATGTCTTCAGTGAAGTCCCTCTAAGGATGAACGATCTGTCTCTTAACAGCCATGGGGTGGCTTATGAGAGGCTACAGCGATCAGAGGACGGACAGCCGCGGGTGGGCTCTGAGGGGCAGACACTGGGACTGCAGCAGGGAGGAAGGGTCAGCTGCGGGGGCAATCTACCCTCGGGGCAGCACGGCCGCTGCCCCACAGAACCACCTGTCCTCCTCTCAGGAGCCCCTGGATGCAGAGCCTCCTACGTGGAGTTCAGGGTGACTCCTGCCTACTCCACTCCGGCCCCTGCTCCTCACACCAAACCCTCGGCACGTGGAGGAGGCACAGGAAAGGCCTGAGGAACGTCGCAGCATTGGCAGCCGTGGTCCCCTTGCTATCAGGCTACTGACTACACTTATCAAGAAAAATCAGGCCAAGGAAACAGACTGGAAAGGCCCTCAGAGATCTTCCCGGCAGCTCCTAGAGCAGCGGCGAGGTGGGGGGGACCTGCCTGAGGACACACAGGGAGAAGAGCCCTTACCCGAGGGCTTGGAAGGCCGGGATGGACCGGGCCCAGTGCATGGAGAGGAAGAGCAGGCGGGACGCGGACTCGCAGATGTAGTGCACGTTGAGGTACTCCGGCATCGGGCTGGGCATGGTGAGCTGGGGGAGAGAGCACACGGCACGGGGGACCAAGGTACGGCAGCTCTGTCAACACACGAATCCCTGCCGTGTTTCAACACTCGTGGCCGCCAGAGTCACCGTCTCTGACGCTGGAGCCCCGTACAGACCAGCCGTGCGGAGCAGGTGTCCTCTGCAGGGGCCGCACTGACTCCCCGTGCTGTCCTGCCCAGTGAACAGGCTCTGATGGCCCCAGGAATGTGGAATGACGGGGACCTCCCAGCTCACCCACACAACTCCTGCCTCAAGTACTCTGTTACTTGTTCTAAGGTGATTCCATTTCAAGCCACAGTCTAACTGAGGTCGGGGCACGGGGTCACTCATGGGCTCGCAGGGATCTGGCAGGCGGCCTCAGTAACGGGGGAGAGTGAGCAGGAGCCCCGAGGGCAGGAGGGCTTCCCACCGACAGGATGTCAGTGTCTAAGAGGGGCTCTAATGCCTCTGAAGCTCGGCACCCTTGGAACAACCGCGGGCAGAATCCCCGTCTTCCTAAGTGACTGGCCAGACCTCTCCCAGCAGAGAATACAAGGGGAACTGGAAGACTTGGTCTGGAGACCCAGAGACTAAGGAGCTTCGGGGAAGCTGGGAGTGTCCTGGACAAGTGAGGCCAGGAGGGGCAAGGGCAGGGAGACGCTCAAGGACCCGGCGGCAATCTTCTAGCCTATCTGAGCTCTCTTTTCTGGGGCTCTAGAGGGCAAGAGGTCAGCCCCAATGGCTGGGAACAACACTCACTGCAATAGACAAAGGGCCTGCCTGAGCCTATGCTGAAGCCAAGCTGTCACCGGAAGGCAGACGGCAGAGTGGCCCTTGCTGGGCAGCCTGCATCAGCCTGTCTTGGCAATGATAGGCGGTCAGGCCTGCTTCAGGGTCACCTTCAGAGCCAAATGGCCACATAAGCAGAAGGTGAGTGAAAATGCTGCAGAATGGGGACACTGCTCTGCAGTACAAGGTCCTGACCAAGCACCACTGTGTGGAAATTTGCTCACGTCAAGGTTTGGTTTTTAAACTGAGCCTGGCTGAGGCCGGAGCCCCTCCCCCAGCAGGGTGACTGCCCTCACCTTAAACGTGACGTGAGTGTCTGAGAGGAGGGGGCCTTCGACCTCGATGATGGGTGTGGACTGGTCTCTGCTGATGACATGGATGCTGCCCCCTCCGCCGCCGTCCAGCCCATCCGCCAGGCTTGGGGGCGAGGAGCCGTCTGTGGTGTTAAGTGCTTTAGCTAAGGTGTCAAACGCCCTGCAAGCAAAAGTGAGGCGAGCAAGCGTATGAATCCGCGGCTTCTAGGAGGAGGAGAGCTCCAGCTGAGACATAATTTAGGAAAACGACGCATCAGGAAGATAACTAACTTCCCCTTGCTGAGAAGAGGAACGCGGCTTCCACGTGCTGTCTCCACAGCATCTTGGGCACTGAGCTCTGTGTTCCTTTTGTGTGTAAGTTCTACTTTTCACGACTACTCTCTGAGGCAGAATTCTCTCCATTTCACATATGTGAAAGCTAACTCCTCCATGACCACCCACGTAGCAAGCAGTAGAACCAGAATTCTCCCAAACTCAAATCCCCTCCTTCTTCCATCGGATCTAGATCTAGGTTTTCTATCAGACCACAAGTGAACACGAGGACCGGCGCCCTCCAGTGGCCCCAGCCACGCACCTGCCTGGCCTGGCAAGATGGCAGGAGTGGCTGGTCCAACGGGAAAGGAGCAAACCCTGACCCTCGCAGCCGCGTGCAGGCACCTGGGCCAGCCGGCGCCGTCTAACAGCTAGTGTCTGTCTGCCCTGGTGAGTCGAGCTAAGCTCTAGACTCACCGCCTGGAAAAAGGCTGCACGACTGATGCTCAGGCACCATAAACAGCAACCAGTACAAGGAACAGCTTTCCCCCTACTTCCAGTGAGTTGCTCAATTTCCTTTATTAGCTGGAATAAAAAGTTCTGAGATTGTTTTATGTCCTGTGGTATCAGTGAGTCCACGTTCCCACGACAGACGTGAGGGGCCCCGTGACGATCCCACAATCCTTGATTAAACACAGGGTGGGCGTCAAGCCACTGCCACCCACCCTCACGAGGCAGCGCCTGCGCGCGTCGGGAGGGGCCTCCAGCCTCATGGGCTCGTACCGAGTGATCTCACTTGCAGACTGGTCCTCCGGCTGCATTTCCGAAGTGTCACCATTGTTCAGGGACTCACTTAGGTTGGCAAGGGAAGTCACCACGTTTGCCAGTGTGCCCAGGGCCCCCTGGCTTGTTTCAGCCTGTTAATCAGAAAGTAACAGCGTCAAAGGTGCACACACATGACTCAGGGCAATGAAGGTATAAGGCTGCTTTAAAGCCAGCTTCTATGCAGGCAGGACAGGACAGCGCGGGGAAGAGCTTTTTGGGAAGAAATACTTCTGGCGGTGATAGTAGTTACACAAATCTACACGTGCGATGAAATGGCAGAACAGAAACAGGTAAGCTGGATGTCCCCAAAATTTAAACCTTTGAGCTTCAAAAGACATAATCAAGAAAGTAGAAAGACAGCCTCTCCCCCTCAACCACACAGGACAGCCCACAGAATGGGAAGAAAGTTTTGCAAATCACACATCTGATTTAGTAGCCAGAGTATCTGAAGAACTCTACAACTCAGTGATAAAGATGCAAATCAAAACCACAGTGAGATACCACTTCACACCCACTAGGATGGTCACAGTCCAAAAGACAGATAATAACAAGTGTTGAGAGGATGTGCAGAAAGCAGAACACGCACAGACTGCTGGTGGGGGTATAAAATGGTGCAGCCGCTGGGGAACACAGCCTGGTCGTTCCTCAGAAATCTGAGCAGAGACTCGTCTAATGTAAATGACAAGAGCAGTCCCACTCGCAGGCACATACATAAGCGGTATTGAAACATTTCCACAGAACACCTTGCACGCAACGCTCGCAGCAGCATTACTCCTCAAAGACAAAAAGCAGGAACACCCCAAACGTCCATCAGCTCACGAATGGATGAACAGCACACGGCACAGCTACTCAGCAGCACCTCATCTGGCAATAAAGAACCATGAACCACGATACATGCCACAACATGGATGAACCTTGAAAACATTAAGCTAAGAGAAAGAAACCAGGCACAAAAGGCCGTATATTGTATAATTCCCTTTATATAAAATGCCCAGAACTGACAAACTACAGCCAGAAAGCAGATGAGTGGTTGGCAGGGGTTGGGAGTGGGGAGGGGGTAGTGACTGCTTAATGGGTTCAGGGTTTCTTTCTGGGGTGATGAAAATGTTCTGAAACTAGGTAGTGGGGGATGTTACAACAAGCTGAAAACCACTGAATTGTACACTAAACGGGAAAATTTTCTGGTATGTGAATTAGATCTCAAGTTAAAAAAGGGAAAGAAAGCCAAAGATACACTCAAACAAATATGTATACACAAATGATGTGTATACATGAATGTCTGCTGTATTTTGATTATAAAAGCGAAAAACTAGAATCAGCAGAAAAGATCATGAACGACTGATTAATAAACCACAGAACAACTATATAACAGAATTTCACGCAGCTGCTAAAAGACGTGGGTCCCCAGGACAGACCGCTATGCTGGAGGGAGGACGCTGCAGAAGAGTGAAAAGAAGGGAGAGACAGAACAGCACCCACACGCGCACCAGCACCACGCCTGCCTTGGTTCTGTATTGCTGTGCGGGACGCAGCCGCGGGAGAGACTGGGTAACGCGTGCAAGGGTCGCTGTAGCATCTTTGTACTTATTCAAAGCAAACGGTTTTGAATGTATAATGATTTCAAAGTAAAAAGTTTAAAAATTAGTTTCTGGAAACAGCCAGCTTTAGGTGCGCTGCATGTGCCTGAGATTCATGACAGGCTGCTGGGCGGGTCCTGTGACTCCAGGGCAGAAGGGGGGACAGCTGGGCATGGCCCTGACTCTGCAGCTCTGTCTTCACCACTGTCCTACTCCACCCAGCGACCACCACGAACCTCAACAGTTCACATGTACTGAGGGCTCACCGTGTGCCACGTGCTTTATAAAAGTGCCTCGCTCGAGTTTCCCAGCACCCCTGTGTGGGGGTCCTGAGGTGGAGAAGGGAGGGCACAGGGCGACCAGGAGTGCCAGCTGGCCCTGCAGTCAGTCTCCGCACGGATGGCACTGCAGAACAGGGGCTGGGCGGGCCCTGGTGACCAGGAGTTTACGGTGGTTTGGGCCTAACTTTCAGGATGGTGTCCCTACCCAACTAAGTAGTCAGTCACTGTCTGCTGGGTGATGGCAGGGAGCCAGGCATGATCTGTCACCACCGCCCAAGGACAGGGGGCTCGAAGCCCAGCTGAGGACCAACAGGCAGAGGGCAGCTCTCTGTGCTGGCCACCAGCTCCCATTTTTGCCTTTTCTTTCCCAAAGGAGGATGTTCCTTAAGGCCCTGTGTGTGCATGAGAGCCGGCGAGAGAGAGGCCCGCAGGCCTGGCTCTGGCTCTGGCTCTGAAGGCGGCGGCAGCACCAGCGCTGTTCCCGAGCTGCTCCTTCCAGAGCAGAGATGCTGGGGCTGCTGCACCATTGCTCAAGTCGCATCAGGGACAAGAGGGTGAGAGAAACACCGGGTTCCCGTGCCTGGAGCCCCCCTCCCCCGGTTATCTCCAAAGGAGACAGCCAGCTCGCCCTCTCTCTCGGGGTGACAAACATCTCTCTGTCCACAAGTTAAACTCCCTGTGGTTGATCTGCTCTGTCCGTTCTAGAATTGTTAGAATCATGGCTGAACTTCTTCCTGCAGATCATCCAATAAAAAGGAACCAGAGGCTTCTGCAAAAGGCCATCTCAGGGTAAGTAGCTCCTTTCTCAGCTCGCCAAGAGTTTGCCGATGTGTGTACCAGGGGAAAGCCTTAAAAGAGGAGAGAACCACAGACTTCTCACTGAACAGAACTCTAGACCCTGCCATGTAAAATGACCATGATCAGCCGGCCCTGACTGAGTTTCCAAAAAGACACTGGCATCCCTGAAACAAATCAGAGCACAGCTGTATCAGAAGTAAATGGAGATGCAGAAGGCCACGCTGTCAACACAGTCTCTGAAGGCCAGGAAGGAGGTGCACACATTCAGAGAAGCAGCCTGCACCGCGACGTAAAGGTGAAGGAGAAAGCTTAAGTGGAGAACGTCACCTTGGAATCCGTGGCCAGGAGAACCGTACCATCCTCACGTATCAAAGGCTGCTGGATGTTCACAAGCATCCCTGGATCAAGAAGACCTGTTTGTCTATTTAAGACATAAAGAAACCCAGAGTAGCTTCCAACATTTAATGTACAGTATGATCATGCTGCATTTACCTGCCTCGTCCACACCTGCAACGCCGAGCAGAAGGAACGCTCTAACTAGACTCAGCCACTGGGTGACTGTACAACCCCCTGTTCTCTACAATCAGACGTGCACTAAGTCGGGTCTACGGTGCACACAGGTGCACAGCCCCAGGCTTCCATGCTGACCCCAGACTGCAGCTGCTCTGCTGACAGCGTTAACCTGACCTCAGAATATCACCAAGGCACTCCCAGCTCCAGTGCTGGCTATGATACATTGCAGACTTCTTGTTTTCCCTTTCTGTTCCTTTAAAATTAAGTTCAATAGATTACATTAAAAAGAATGTATGAGGGGGAGGGTATAGCTCTAATGGTAGAGTGCATGCTTATTAGCACACACGAGGTCCTGGGTTCAATCCCCAGTACCTCCATTAAAAACAAAAAACAAAGAACAACTAAATAATAAATAAACAGACCTAAAGACCTCTACCCAAAAATAAAAGTAACCGTGGCACTATGTAGGACCACACCTGGGTCTTAGGTCTTTTATCTGTACTGCACAAAACCCCAGTCTTGAATCATGAAACAGCTGTTTCCCCACAAGAATGACACCTGAGCTACAGCACGTAACCTGAGCCCGAGACAGGAGAAATTCTGACCCCATCTTAAGTCAGCCATCTTCAGGCCTGTCCAGAGGTGTGGCTGCAGTGGCCCCAAAAAGAGAGAGATGAGGCCCAACAAGATCAAGGCTGCAGCGGGGGGAGCCACGTGAGCCCTTCCCAGGGTCATCGCGCTTCCTCTGGCTAGGCCCAGAGGCGGCCCAGGGTGCTGCCCTTCGTGAAGACGGGCACTGACCTTGCTCCGTCCTTGTCTGCCACGAACGTGGGCGTGGCTATCAGAGGGCTTCGCAGGTCCTTCCGGATGTAGATCTTCTCAGTCGACGCAGCGCAGTTGCTCGGCTTCTCCCGCTGCACGTCGAAGGGCTTCCGTTCACTCTGCACAGCTTAAACCACAACATAAACACGCATGTTGAGAGGGAAGATTCCAATCAGTAGAAACCTCATCCTTCATGGGGAGGGACAGGTCCTTCTGCGGAAACCCATCACCACAGGGGTAAGCTTGGTGCTAGACGCATTACGGCTAAACGCTCACGGCGGACTCTGCATGCAGCCAAAGGAGAGAAATGCTCAGAGCCAAACAGTGTCGTCAAATAAAGCCACAGAAAGGGCTCAAGGTGGCGGCACCGCCGAGAAAGTGCAGCGTGGCGTCTGTGCGGCCTCACTTCCTGCGGCCGACGGAGGGACCCTCTCCAGGAGAACACCCCTCACCAGAGAGCTGCCCACGCTCTGCTGGCAGAGGAGCCACTCCAACGTCCAGCTCAAGCCTGTGCAGCCTCCGCCAACGGTTAAAGGGGGCGACATCACGTGACGCCAGTGACCTCTCCCTCTTGCAGTCTGGTATGAGAGCAAGCACACGTGCCAGAAACACCGAAGAAAATAAAGACCTTTTCAAAAGAAAGAAAAGATGAGCCCAGACCCAACATGTGAGTGAGGCCCTGGGGGCAGGCTCCTCCCCGGCACCGCGCTCATCCCACTCCTTGGCTGCCGCCGATCCGTCTGGACTAGGTTCCCACTACGGAATCTGACCGACCCCGCAGGGCTGACACAGCATCGCCCAGCTGACCCTGAAGGTGAGCCACGATGAAGCCTCCGCAGGTGCTGTTTTCTTAGAGTGTTTAAAGCCAGGTGTGGAAACCTCGCCCTCTCCCTCCTTACTACCTCACTACGTGCCCTAATACTCACATTCCATCTTCATGCCCATCTCCAGGCATTTCTTCAGCCGACAGAACTGACAGCGGTTCCGGTGGTGTTTGTTGATAATGCAGTCTTGGTTGCTCCGGCAGCTGTAGGTCAGATTTTTCCTTACGCTCCTTTTGAAGAAACCTTTGCAGCCTTCACAGCTGACAGCCCCATAGTGACGGCCTGAAAGGGAAAGGGAGCCTGAGCAGCTCCCCAAAGGCAGAGGCACCTGCCATGGGCCCTGTGCTTCAGGGAGCGCAGCCATGGTGCCCAGGGCTTCATATAATCTTTCTACCATCTTTAAAGCAGCCTTGTGAGGTTGTGATGGAAAAACGGAAGCTCAGACAGGCTATGTGACCACTGGTAAATGGCATGGCCCTAATGCTCCAATTCACAGCAGGAGCTCACGGCCGCAGGCTGAGGTGTTCTGCCCGCTGGGCGCACCAGGTCCTGGCTCTGCAGCCCCGGGCTTGCGGAGCCCCTCACCTCCCCTGTCCCACCGTGAGGCACAACACAAGCTCATGCTCTCTTACTGGCAGGGTCTCACCCTGCACTTCTCCCTCTGTGAGTCATCCCTGGACCCCCAGACTGAGGCGGAGGTGGGGAGGGAGCAGAGTAGGACCAGACCTGGGGGGCCCAGGCCCAAGGAAGGCTGCCATGGATGGTGCTCACTGGCATTGGGTATTGAAAATGCAGTCCTGGAAATACATTTACTTAAGACAGGTTTTTCCTAAGCTTGTTTATTTTGGGGTCTCTACGTTCTAATTACCTCCAACATTAAAGAGAGCCCCAGCCTGCCTCTGCTCTGCTGGGACCGACCATGGCGACGCTCCCGTGGGTGGTCTCGTGTAACCCAGGGCACAGCTACATCACGGGGGGACAATTCACAGGCTCATCACAGACCCATCGTCCTCAGCTCTGGCACTTGGAGGCACTCTCCCAGTGTGCACTTGGAGGGTCTCGACTGTGTGCCTTTAAGAACAGTCATGCTAGATGGCCACGTGGACATCATTTTTCCTTCCCCGCAGTGGATTTCTCTGGGCTCTCTAGCTAGACCTTAGAGTGATCTCTGATATCTGGAGACAGCAGCACTGCAAGCCTGTGATGAAGCCTTTCCTTCAAGCCAAGAAAGGGAAGCCAAGCAGATCTGGTGGCCTCTGTTATGTTCACGCTTCACTCATTTGTTCCAAAGTTTGCAGAGTGACTTTCCTTGCTGAGCAAGAAGATGGGGATAAAGACATGAAGGGCTCAGTCATGGTTCTTGCTCTAACAAAAACAGCACACTCTGGTGAGGAAGACAGGCCTGTAAGCAGCGGTGAGAACAGGACACACACGATGCCCAGAGAGGTCTGTACGAAAGGGCGATGATGGGGGAGGCAGCGCTGGCCCCCGCCTGCAGGGGCAGGTGAGGGCCTCAGGGGCGGGGCGGGGTGGGGCGGGGCAGAGTACAGCCGGCAAGGCTGGAGTGGCTGGCCCACTGTGGGGGCTCGCCGGGGGGCTGCCTTCCTCTTAAGAGGCTTGGTTCAGCGTTTTGTTTTTTTTCTTTCTTTTTAAAGCCAGGACCACAGTGTCCCAAGTTCCTGTGAATATAGTGACCGCAGAATAAAGAGACCAAGCAGTCATTACAGAACTCAGGCCAGGGCCCTGCAGCTTTATTAAATGCGTCTCCACTTCTTCCTGACGACCTCATCACTCATGGCTCCCTGCCGTTAGGGTTGAAGTCTGAGTTTTCCGGTCAGACACCTTCTTTAGTCTCCCTGTACGCACAACCCTAACCATGGACGCTCAGGAGCGATTCCCCAAAGAGCCAGTGGTCTGGACGTTAACTCTCTGGGCCCTGGCCCCACCAGCTGGAGCCCCGCTTCTGCTTTACCTGACTGCACACACTCAACCACCAAGGTCACCACCACGACCTCCTCCAGGCCCTTTCTGGACCCCAGGACACCAGCCAGAATCGCACGGCCTCCTGTGCCTCACACTGTCTCAGTGAGGGCTGACAGGCAGCTACAGTCCGGGCGAAGGAGGAACAGACAGCAAACAGCTGGTGAAACGGCAACCACTGTGTCCAAATAACAGCTCGAGCCGAGAAGCGACTCCTTTCTTAGCAGTACAGCAGTGCCTGGCACTCAGCCACGCCTTGCACAGCACAGAAATGGTTTCCCGACTTTTCCTTTTGATTCTTACCATCTGACAAACTGGTCTGCTTATTATTCATACCACCACCCCAGCAGGAAAAGCGGAGTTCATGTTTTCAGACCTACAACCCTCCTCCCCGATGATGTTCGTGAGGCCGGTCCCTGACGCGCACCCAGGGGCCCCAGGGTTACTCACCCGACGCTTTGTCGCCACACACCACACAGTACTCGACCACCTGGGGCCGCTGGACCTCGGCCTTCCCCAGCAGACGCTCCACAGAAGCAGAGTCAGTGACAATCTAAGAAGAATCAGCAAACAAGCAGGGTGCTGATGGAAAACCAGAGCACGAAGCAAAGTAATGTTTAACTCAATTCCCAGTCGTGGATTTCTAAGCAGAACTCTGGGCAGCACCGGGAAGAGTTCACCTGGCAACTTGATCTGACACCTGGAGCAGGACCAAGCCCCTTCGGTGGCGGGGTGGGGGCTGTCCAGAGTCAGACACTGGTTTTCAGTGATCTACCCTCCTCTCCGGATGAGAGCCGTGGGGGAAATCACGTGCAGACGCTCCAACACGAAGATGCCGCAGTCTTCCTGTCTGTTCCCATGAAACAGCTTTAAAGTACACAGGGAGGTATATTTGGGAGAGAAATAACTAAGCTTTATTGATTAAATAACTAGCTCTCTCATGAAGCCGCTGGGGGCGCAAGGACTAGAAGAGGTGACCCCTGAAACCTTCACTTGTAGGTGACTTTCTGGTGACCAACAGCGCTGCTCTCCTGGAAGAGTAATGTAACTGGTGTCAACACGAAAAAGTGAAAAACAGCTCTTACTAAATAATGTGCCAGCAAGAAGCCCTGAGATGATTTACGTACGGTGGGAACACACACAGAAATCATTATGTGGTGTGACCTCTCGTAAGACATGCACCAGAATCCTCAGCCTCCCTTTCACAAACAAGAAGCTGCCTAAACGAGCAGGAGGAGCTCTGATTCCAGACGAGGGGGACGCACCCTGGGAAAGAAGGGTGCGGAGTGTGCACTAACTGCACGGCGAGGCGTCTCAGAAGCACAGCCCTGAAAGCTGAACACGCCGGTGTTCTGGGCCTCGCTCCAGCAGAAGGAAAAAGCCTTTCCTCCCCGAATGTTTCCCACAGTAGAACCCACAGAACACAGGGCTTCTTAGCCTCATTCACAGAAGTCAGGAGGAGAAGCGACCAAGTGTCCGTCAGCAGGTGCCTGGGTAAACAAAGAGGGGTCTCTGCACACAGTGGACTGCCGTCCCGCCTGTGAGAGGAAGGGAACGCCAACGCACGCAGCAGTACAGCTGGACCTGAGGACACGGTGCCCAGAGAAATGCATCAGCCACAGAAGGACAGACACTGCAGAGCTCTACTCATGTGAGGTCCCTAGGCCAGTCAAGTCCAAAGAAAGTGCAACAGTGGCTGCCAGGGTCTGGAGGAAGGAGGAGGGGGAGTTGCTTGCTGAGGACAGAGCTTCAGTCTGGGAAGATGAAGAGTTCTGGGGACGGGTGCTGGTGGTGGTTGCACAACAACGTGAATGTACTTAGTGCCACTGAACTGCACACCTAAAAACAATTAAGACGGCAAAATCTATGTCATCAGAAATTTTTTAAAAATTAAAAACTAGAACCAAACAAAACTATGGATCCCATCGTGACCCAGACTAAATGTGCTCCTTGCTTGGCCTCACAGGAACTCGCCGTGAGTGCCTGTCCCTCCACATGGCCTGGAAATTCAGTGCTTCCCGATAAGCCTGCTCTCCTCCCAGCCCTTGCTCTTCTCCTTCCTGTACCTGCCCCAACCCCATCCCGCCTGCCAGAGCAGGGAGAACCAGGACAGAGGTGGAGACCAGAACCACAGGAACACAGGCTGAATGAAGAGCTGGGCCAGGCCGAAGTAAGATGAGGAACAAGTCAGCCCTTGCCTGGCTGGGGTCATCCCTTGGTGGTGTCCCTAACATCACGGGCCAAGGGCTGTCACCATGTGGCCTTAGTTGAGAACAACTCTACAGTGGCCTCATGCCATGTGCTCGGGTCGGTCTCCTGTGGGGCCACTGACTGTGCCCAGCTCAACTCCCCCGATCTGAGCACTGCTCCCCCCACTCACATGCTGGCTCACTCCTTTAGCTGAGGCAGCAACTTGCTATGTGTGCGGGTCCCCAGAGGACCTCCTAGAGATAGATTTGGCCTCCACGGCAGAGGTAAGGGTCAAAAACGAGTCCAGTAGCGGAAGTGCTGAAACAAACACCTGTCAACAGGTCTTACTTGGATCCTGCCGGGGACAAGGTTGTCAGAGGTGGTGAATATGAGCTGCTTGGCGCTGGAGGTCTCGGGGGAAGCCAGGATCACCTTCCCAGTTCCCGCTCCATCTGGGCTGGTCAGGATGAGCTGCTGCTTGGGGGACCCGGAGGCGTCCACTGCGGTGACTATCTGGATCTTCTGTCCTGTCTGCTGGTCTGTCACGATCTACAAGACACAACATGGAAGCTGCTCTCACGGAGCAACACGCAGTGGCTTCCAACACCGTCCTGGAGTCGGTGCTGGGTAGGGACAGTTTCACCAGTGTTGGGTGAAATGAGAAAAAGATGACAACAGGCAGCTTTTCAGAAACCAGTTTTCAAAAGCTGATTTTATTCTAGGATGATATCATCCCTACGATTTTTACAATTAAAATGCCCTTTGGAAGTGGGGGGAAAGGACGACTGGATGAAGGTGGCCAAAAGGTACAAACTTCCATTTACAGGATAAGCACTGGGGCCGTGACGCACAGCACGGCGACCGCAGTTAACTCTGCTGTGCGGTGTACTGGAGAGCTATTCGGAGAGCAGACCCTTAGAGCGCTTATCACAAGGGAAAAAAATAGCTTTCCTTTTTAAGATGGTGGATGTTAACTAAACTTATCGTGGCAACCATTTCACGACACGTGCAAGTCAAGTCATTGCACAGCGCTCCCGACACGCAGTGCTGCGTGTCAATTACAGCTCAACAAAACCGGACAAAGAAAGGCCCTTTCTGTCATGAAATGAAGACAATAACGAACAGTAGATCACAGACTTAACTTAAAAAAAATCCTTGTCCCACACATAATAGAAACATGGGAAACGCTAACCTTTTTGAAATGCTGCTAATCGACAAATCCCCAGACCTCGGAATGGCTGCCTTAAAGAAGGGCTATTTCTGAAGGGAAGGCCCTGTAAACAACCCGGCCTTGGAGTGACTGAATACAGGGAGTCCCTTGCTGACACACACCCAATTTCTCCCACTTCCTGACTCAGAGGTCCTTAAAGACAGGGCTGACACCGGAGTCAGGGCTGCACCAGGCCTGGCACTTGGAGACAAGGCTTCAACAGAAGCCTGTGGCAACACTGGAGGCCGTGGGCGCTGACTTCCGAAAGTCCTGGCCCTGGCTCCTCTGGGGCAGCCACCATTCAGGTGCCCAGCTGCCACAGCGATCCTGTCTAAGTGCACCAGCCACAATTAAAATCGTTGCTATGGTTGAGCTACTCCCCCTATTCCGTTCATGAAGTGCTTTGAAGCTGTTCTAGTCCCCTTCCTGCCTCTCCTCCAGGCCCAGGGCCAAGCCTGGAGCACTGCCCACCTTCTCCCCGAGGACACCGGCAGGCCCTCATTGCAAACAGGACTCCTTGGGGAATCACGGCTGGGCCTTGCGCACAACAAGATGTGGGGCATCTCTGGCTGGACTTCAGCTCCTGGCAGCACGTTACGGGCAAGTCTGGCGCCAGCCCCGCCTCTTGCCAGACTCGCTTTGTAACGTGGCATCCCAAGGTTCAGACAGCAAACTCCCATGGAGTCCAACACAACAGCTTCGACAACAGTCCAATATGGAAAATCAGACCATGCTGGTTGGTTGAAAAGAAAATGACACAGGCAAGGAAAGAGTCCTCACTTAACATGTGTTTACTGGGTGCCCACTGCGTGTCAAGCACTGATCTTGGTACTGAGGAAGGAGACAGGAACCTGGCGGGGAGCTACCTTCCACAGGGGAGGCAGACTGTGCCACGAAGAGTGCAGTCCGCACAAGTGCCACGGAGAAAACCAAAAGGCAGGTAGTAGGTAAAATGCGACATGGGGATGGAGGCAGAGGGGCAACATCTCTGAGGCAGCGACGCTGGACAAAGACCCGAACGGAGCAAGAGAAGACGCTGTGCAGAGATGCTGCGGGCCCAGCAAACACAGGACCAGGGGCCGCAGGCTGGGCACAGAGCCTGGCTGACGGCCAGGCACAAGCCCCAGCGCAGGGCCACTTCCAGGTGATGGCAAGCAAGATCTTCAGAGGCTGAAGATTCAGAGAGAAGGGAAGGAAGGACCTTCCTTTATGAAAGCGGTGGAGAGTCCCCGGAGCAGCACAACCTGAGACAGAAAACCGTGTAAGAAGAACTGCTAGAACACTCCCCGCTCAGCGGGAGGATGGTGACCGATTGGGTGCCACACGCTGCCCTCAGCTGCCACGGAGGGGACTCCTGCTCGGTCTGGAGGGAAGCAAAATGGATTCTGAAAGGCCCTCACAACCTTGAGACCCGAGAGTCAAACGTTTGATTTCCTTTTCACATCTGTTGGTTCTTGTTTTCTTCCCAAAATGTTTTTTGTGTGAAGAAATGAACAGTCCTGGGACCGAGGGGGGTCTCCAACTTCCTGCTTCGACCGAGGCAGGCGGCTGCGGCCTTGCCCGTGTGTTCCGAGCGGCACGCCCCACGCGGAGCGCACATGCCACTTTGCCACTCCCTTTCCTGCCGCTCCCAGTCCTCTGGCGGAGGCCTGGCGGGCATAGGCGGGGGGTCGGGGCAGGAGATGGGGGCAGTGACTGATCCAGATGGTGACAGCTGCTCTTGGTGGCTATATGTAACACATCCAAAAGCCCAGATTATTTTGCCCCCCCCCCAAAACTCAGACTCACATAAGTTCAGTGAATTACTCACAAATTTTTGTCTTTTTGTTTACCTTCCCCTCATAAGATGTTTGCATTTTCCATTTAGAAAAATAAAAAAACTGAATGAAAATCCATGAAAAAACTAAAAATGTAAGTAGAGAGAGAGAAAAAAAAGTCCCTCAAATACGTTGCTGGAAGCCCAGGGTGACCACGAGGCAAACGACCCTGCTAACATGGGCAGGCAGGCCCCTGCTTAATGAGACCGAGGAAACGTCAAATTGAGAGGATCTATCCAAACATTTGGGTCTCCTGTGCAGGAGCGGGAGAGAGGTGGTGTGGGGAGAATCATGCCCACCCCCCAAAAAGAAGTGTAAGCCCTGACCCCCAGGACCTGTGAATGTGATCTTATCTGGAAACTGCCTATGCGACTGCGACTGAGTTAAGATGAGGCCCGCCCGAATGTGGGTGGGCCCCAAATCCAAGGACTGGTGCCCGCAGACGGCGTCCATGTGACGACAGCGGCAGAGACTAGAGTGACACGCCACAAGCAAGGACTTCCGAGGCGTGCAGGATCTGGGGACAGGCAAGGAAGGGTGCGTCCCTGCATCTGTGAGAGAGAGCACGGCCCCGCCAAGGCCTTGATTTTGGGCTTCCAGCCTCCAGAACTGTGAGAGGGAGGATTTTTGCTGTTTTAAGCCCTCAGTCTGTGGTAATTTGTTGTGGCTGCCCCTGGAAACTAACACAAGCACTCTCTGTTTAATTTCTTTACTGGAAGCAATTATTCATACTCCCCGCCTGTGAAGAGTAACAAATGGGGTGGGGTGGGGGGGCAGTTACCGAACGAAGGGACAAGGGACGTCGTTTTCTGTGACTTTAACGGCTTCCCGTAGCTTGGCTACAGCCAGCGCTGCTTCAGTGCTGGTTCTGGAAAGGTGCATTTGTTCCAACATAACCGACAGATTACGAACAACTCGAGTCTACCGTGAACCTGCGGCTTGTTTACACACAGTCCCTCCCGTGAGAAGCACCAGGTGAACCCAGAGCGCACGACGCCCGGGAAAGCGAGCTGCGCGGGAGAGGCGGCCCCAGGCCTCCCTCAGGCACAGCGCTGCGATACCGCGGTCACCACGTGTCTCTTCACTATTAACGTATGTAAGTTACGCAGTTCTTACTAAATCCATACCTGTTTTTAACTGTCACCAGCAGCTTCCGAGAGCTGTGCTACTCAACTCAGCTTTCCCACAAGCCCCGGGAGCTTCACCAAACACTTCCGCAGAGGGTGGGAATTTGCAGGATGCACCTGTCACGTGATAGCGGAGCTGACTGTCCTCTACCAGCCCAGGGCCTCCCTCTCTCTGCAGCTCCACCCCAAGACCTCAGCATGACCAGACGCACTGCCCTTCTCCACCTGCCCACTCTGTGTCCCAGCCAGGACTCCGTCCCGGCCAGGCTGGGCTCATTGTTGCTGCTGTAAGGAAGCTTGAAGGTAGAAGCCAGCCACTAGGTAACTTTTGTTTGATTTCTCAAAATTTAACATAAAATAACATAATTCATTGCCAACTCTAAAAATGGAATATTCCCCATAAAAATCAGATTTATAGTTCTTTTGACAAATGAGCAGCTCTAGCACCAGCTGGCTGGGTGTGGTGGCCCTGTTAGCTGGGGCACAGCTCTCTGGTTTGCCCACCTGCCGCCTTCCCTCCTTCTCTGCTGCCACCTGGGCCTGTGCTCCTGAGAGAGGGCTTTGCGGCCAGAGCCAGGGACCGAAGGCCTGCTCTGCTGCTGCTCAGCCGCGTCGACGTGGGGCAGTCACGCAAGCTTTCTGACTTCTGAGCCTCTGTTTATGTATCTACAAAAATGGACTGCTAGGAAAGTGACAGTACTTGGGACGCTGCCCAGAACATAACAGGACCTTGAGAAAAGCACTTCCTCCCTCTGAGCTCACATACTTCTCTCCTCACTTGGGAAGTCTTGTCCCTTTCATGCCATCAAGTCTCCCCGCTGAGAAAATCAGGACTTCGTACTGCCGCTCAGTTCCTGCCATTTGTTCCTCAGATACAGGCAAAGGGCGAACTCCGTCCGTGCCAGGCGCTCGGCTAGAACACGAGAGCCATGGAGCTGGTGCCTGCCTCGCTGGGAGCTCAGAGGAAAAGACTGGCAAAGTACCAGTAAACACACCAACTAGTAAACAATCGAAGTTTACGATACATGCTGTGAAGGAACAGATCAGGCCGGGGTGAGAGAGAACGATACAGGCGCTTACTTCAGAAGGAGGCCAGGGAAGGCCTCTGTGATCGGGTGACATTAAAAACCACACTCAAGGCTGAGGAGAAGGAAGCCCGGTAAAGGCTGAGGGGACAGTGTGTTCCAAGCGACAGGAAACTTTGCAGCAGCAGGAGAGCCCGAAGAGGAAGGAAGCCTCAGAACTGAGTCAGGCCAGGGCCCGAGAGAGGGAGGCGGGCTGGCCCTGCTGGGAGGGAGGAGTCCACCGTGGGCACAATGAGAGCCACTCCAGGGTTCTTCCTGCCCAGTCAGGTCTTCCAGTTTCGTATACTATTTGATACCTATCTTACACATG